AGGGGAGGAGCTAACCCATGTGTATATGCTGCCATGAATAGCCAGGAAAAGAAAATTACGGCAAGTGTGTGTGTGTGTGTGTGTGTGTATGTGTATGTATATGTATATGTATATATATATATATATATATATATATATATATATATATTATCTCTATATCAGTTTTGGCTACCTCATCCTCCTTGGTCACCGCCTCCTCAACCTATGGGTCACTTAGTATAAACTATGTACACATTAGCAGAGGCTTTGTAAAGGCCTTTTCTCCATGCATCAGGACTGCAAGAAATGTTTCTTTTTTTACATGTCCCAATATTTTGGGGGCTACCCCAATTAAAAAAACAAAACAAACAAACAAATAAAAAGCAGTGTTGGCTACCTCCTCTTCCACTGCCGCTTCTACCTACACCACCACGGTCACCGCCTCCTCAACCTATGGGTCACTTAGTATAAACTATGTACACAATAGCAGAGGCTTGTGAAAGCCTTTTCTCCATGCATCAGGAGTTGAGCTCAGTTTGAACAATGAAAGAGAATACCCTGCACTCCAACCCTCTCTCAAATGGATAATTCTGGTGATCCTCCTGACAGCCATGCTTTAGATTTTGATTTGTTCTTCCCAAGCTAAAATCAAAGATTCCATCTAGTGCTATTTTATGGCTCAGCAGTATGTTATTTTAAGTGATTTCCCTATCCACATTTGTTTGCAGGGCACTTGTCCCTCATTTTACTTGCTTTTGCAGCTCTCTAGCTCTTTCCAGGAGTTTTTTAGAGGCATTTTTGTGGCCAAATGTTCGGGTCCCCATTGACTTCATTAGGGTTCGGGGTCAAGTTTGAGCCCGAACCCGGACTTTTTCTCAAAGTTCGGTCGAACCCGACGGACCCGAACATCCAGATGTCCGCTCAACTCTAGTTGTCATAAATGGTAAATTGTCAGGCTGGACAAAAGTAGTAAGTAGTGTCCCCCAGGGTTCTGTTTGGCACTGCTTCTATTTAACATATTTCTAAATCATCTTGAAATAGGCATTAGAAGCAATGTTTCAGTGTTTGCAAATGACACAACTTTGTAAAGTGAAAAAAAAGGTGAGCAGGATATTGCTTTGCTGCAGAGGGATTTAGATGGCAGATGAAATTTAATGTTGTGACGAAGTGCCCTTCACCACTTGGTCCTGGAGAGGCCTGCTTGCCAGCCTCTTGCCCTGTGACTATGGCCTGTAGGAGATTGTGCCCTCTAAAAACATTATTTGGGCATATTGGATTGTAACATACTTTCTGCCCCTTTAATTCCATGAGAAAATGTGCATCTGCCCCTCCCCCGTTTTTTATCTATTGTTCTCCAGCAGAGCGTTGTCCCAGGGACACTGCCAGACTAGTTTAAACTGGCTGCTTTGTCCCTCCTCAATCTCTCATCAGCCCCTGCTTAATTTAACCCCATGGTGATTTTATTCTGTTTGTGGGATC